ATCATATATATATATTATCATATATATATATATATATATATATATATATATATATATATATATAATGTGATTTTGTGCACCTAAGCCACCCTGTAGCAGTATTTCTGCTATAGAGTGGCGTGGAAGCGGTTAAAGGAGGTTACAGTCTATATCCTTTTGACAGTCTAGACAAGGGTTTCTCAACTAGGGTTCCTTCAGAGGTTGCTAGAGGTTTCCTGAGCAATTAACTATTTATGCCGCTGACACCTTTAATCCTTTTAGCTATCTGTAAGGGGGATAATTCTTCCCAATGACTACAAGTGTAAGGAGCATTCTTCCCACTGACCATCACACTAATGTATCATGAGTTGTAGATATAGTCATTTTTAACATGAGTTCCCTTATGCAGGCCATAGACGGTTCGTTGTCGGCCGATTTTTCATCCGAAAATCAAAACATCAGTCATTTTGTAAACCGATGTTGCCACCAATGATTGCGAAAATTGGCCGTTTTTCACAAATTTTCCAGCATGACCGATAAAGGAAACGAGGAGGAACCGCGAAAATCGGCCGATGCCATTGGCCCACTAGCAGTGCGAAAATCAGCCGATTATTCTTTTGGACGAAAAATCGGTCAATAAACGAACTGTCTATGGCCTGCATTAGACTGGAAAGTTATTTCAAGGGATCCTCTGTGTTGAAAAGGCTCAGAAAGACCGGTCTAGAAACATATTTGGGGATAATATGATAAACTATTACTCCACTGAGAATAAATTCAAACAAACACTGGAGGGCACAGCAAGAAGGGATTTCTGTTGGCAACTGAACCCTTAACCACAGTGCTGCAAGGAAAACTGCCATCCAAATAAGCATTTATAAGCTACTTGTGCAGTTCATCCAAATGTATTTGATATGGGAAAGTGTCAACAGGCAATATAGTTTTCTATTATAAATTTGCCAAATGTATCATAAATAAATGTACACTCATGACATTCTGATAGTTGCAATGCTTGACAGCACAGGAGGAGGACCAGACAGAAGAAAAAACTCAGTAAATCAATCCCTTGTGAATAAAACATTCTTTGAATCCATTCAAGTGAGAAAGTAATAATGACCGTATATCCCAGAAAAGTACACAATTATATAACTGATGAATACATATGACAACGCCACCCTAAAATTTCATTACAAACATCCAGCCAACAACCCTCTTAAATGTTTCATCATGTCATTACAACCTCAGGGACATTCTTGTGAAACCTTGGCGTTGTAACTTTCTCTTAACCTGGCCATACACCAATAGAATTTTGTTGGAAAACAATTTCATTTCAGAACATTCATTCAATTTTCTAATAGTTAATGGGATCAAATCGATGACTGTTTTTGACCATAGCAATGAGTTAAATCAAAGTAGAGGAATTAACTTTTTTTTTCTTGAAAGAATGAAGTTCTGAGAAAGTGGTTTTCAGAGGGGTAAAATCTTACATATTGTACTGGGTTTTCATATGAAATTTTTATTCCATTGAATGCTCTGACAAACAATTTTTCTGAATATCTGTGCGAACATTTGAACAGAATTCTGCAGGTGTATAGCCAGCTTTTGAATCGATCCCTTGCTAACTACACTGGTGTAACCCTAGGCTTACACTCTTGCATTTTGTGTGGGCTGCGTTTGCGTGTGCATGGCAGCTGTGCCTCTGAAAATAAAGGGAAAAGGTCCCTGCACCTTTCTAGAAATCGCAGCCCACACAGGAAATGCACCCCAGTGTGGTTCCCAGTGCGGGTGCGATTTCCAGTGTTGGTGGCATGCCATTAAGATTAATGGCACTCACCCACAGGTCCCACATTTTGTATGCAGGTGGTTGCAGCTGCGGGATGAAGTGTGGGTCCTGCAGTGGCTTCCACCGGCTCCAGTGTGAACTGAGCCTTTCTAGCTGTGACAATATGAATGTATTTTCCCATAAGGAGGCATTTTCTACAGTACTTGACTCAGTAAGCTCTTGTTAACTGCTGAGACTTGCTGTGGGGTTTGCTAAAGCTTGCGACACAAAGTCACAAGGCAAGTCACAACGCATTCCTTTCAATGGGTGCCATTGAGTTGCAGTGACAAAAAAAAAAAGTTCCTTCACTATTTTTCTACGTCTCTGGTGCAACCTGAGTGCCATAGATTACAATGTTAAAATCACAAATGTCGCAAGGAGTTGTATCTTTGTCTTATCGATGTGACTTTGGCTGCGATGATCTGACATCAGAGGGGTTTTTATAACCCTATAATCCACTTCCAGTCCATTTTCTGCTGCGTTACACTCTGTATTGTTTTGACTGGTTCCATAAATATCAAAGTCGCATTGAAGCCAAATCAAGGCACAAGCAAGTCACTCTGGAAGTCGCACAACTTTGGGGTCGCAGCAGTGTGAACCGAGCCTATAGATATTTTTCCTAATCAGTCAAGTTTCTGCAAACAATAATGTTTGTGTAAATATGCTGAATACGTTTAAATTACACTTCTGATTGTACATTCTCCTTTACATTTACCAGCAACTAGAGTGTATCTGTTAAATGGACAGTTGGTAAATGGATTGTTTAGATCAGCTCTTTCCCTTTGTTGACAAAAAAACCCCAAACAAACCAGATATCACAGAAATTGTACAATTGAATTGGATGGTGAGTGCCAGCTTTATATTGGTTGGTATACCCATTGCTGTCAGCCATTAGTCAACATCCATCCACATACAAGAAACTATAACAGTGCCACCCAGAGGACAGATGAAGAAGCTGCGGTAATTTAAAATTGCACTACTAAAACAGTACGTGCTTTATGATAATACTTATAAAAGGTTCATCTTGAAAGCTGGACTTGTAGTTTAACACAAAAATCAAACTGAATCACTTGTAGAAAAACATACCCATTGCTTAATTCTTCTGACATGAGACACAAAGTAAAACAGTCATTTCCACTTCTGCTTCCTTCCTGAGTTTCAACATCTGAAAAAAGTTACTGGTGGGAGAAGTGACTATTCACAGGCATAAGTCATAGGGTGCAAAAAAATATCCCTACATTGATCTTTCAGCATATAAGGTTACTCTCTGTATCAGAAACAGTGGTTGTAATGACGAGCCCATTGCCAAACCAAATAGTGGCTTTGATGATGGTGTCACCTTCTCCCGAGGGATTCTTTATAATGTAGAATAAAAAATGGTGGAGTCCAGCTGTTAGCGAGTGACATGGTGGCCAGAGACACAAACTACCTTGGGAAGAGCTCACCATTTGGGAAGGGCAGAGACAAACAAAGGTGGACAAATCTCGACATTGTGGAAGGGGCAGAAACACAATCTACTATAGAAAAATATCACCATTGTGGGAGTGGCAGAGATCCAAGTTACTGTGAGGAAATATCATTAATACGAGAGGAGTGGAGACAAACTATTGTGGGGAAATCTCATTGTTGTGGGAAGGGCAGAGACACAACTACAGCAGGAAGATATCACTGATGTAGGGGGAGCAGAAACAAACTACAGCAGGAGGATATCACCATTGTAGGGGGGGGGGGGCAGAGACACAACTACAGCAGGAAGTTATCACCATTGTAGGGGGGCAGAGACACAACTACAGAAGGAAGATATCATCATTGTAGGGGGGCAGAGACACAAACTACAGCAGGAAGTTATCACCTTTTATGGGGGCAGAGACACAACTACAGCAGGAAGATATCACTATTGTAGGGGGGCAGAGACACAACTACAGCAGGAAGTTATCACCATTGTAGGGGGGCAGAGACACAACTACAGCAGGAAGATATCACCATTGTAGGGGGGGGGAGACATACCTACAGCAGGAAGATATCAACATTGTAGGGGGGCAGAGTCACAACTACAGCAGGAAATTATCACCATTGTAGGGGGGGCAGAGACACAACTACAGCAGGAAGATATCACCATTGTAGGGGGGCAGAAACACAACTACAGCAGGAAGATATCACCATTGTAGGGGGGAAGAGACACAACTACAGCAGGAAGATATCACTATTGTAGGGGGGCAGAGACACAACTACAGCAGGAAGTTATCACCATTGTAGGGGGGCAGAGACACAACTACAGCAGGAAGATATCACTATTGTAGGGGGGCATAGACACAACTACAGGAGGAAGATATCACCATTGTAGGGGGGAGCAGAGACACAACTACAGCAGGAAGATATCACCATTGTAGGGGGCAGAAACACAACTACAGCAGGAAGTTATCACCATTGTAGGGGGGCAGAGACACAACTACAGCAGGAAGATATCACCATTGTAGGGGGGAGCAGAGACACAACTACAGCAGGAAGATATCACCATTGTAGGGGGGCAGAGACACTACAGCAGGAAGATATCACCATTGTAGGGGGGAGCAGAGACACAACTACAGCAGGAAGATATCACCATTGTAGGGGGAGCAGTGACACAACTACAGCAGGAAGATATCACTATTGTAGGGGGCAGAGACACAACTACAGCCAGAAGTTATCACCATTGTAGGGGAGGCAGAGACACAACTATAGCAGGAAGATATCACCATTGTAGGGGGGAGCAGAGACACAACTACAGCAGGAAGATATCACCATTGTAGGAGGGCAGAGGTACAACTACAGCAGGAAGATATCACCATTGAGGGCAGTAAAAACACAAACTGCTGGGGTGAAACCACTAGGGGAGTTAGCCAGCATTACTTGGCTTCGCCTTTTAACTCTAAAGGGGAAATCTGGGGGAATATTTTACTACTTGACCTCCATAAAAATGTAAGAATCCAGTATGCGATTCAGCTTGCCAGAAGAAAAAATATGACTGGTATCACTGTTTTGCATGGAGATGGCCTTTAAGGTTTTCACTAACTCAAAAGTTTCAAATATACTGTTTTTTTAATTGGACCAGCTTAACCAAATTGTACAGATAAATGAAGTCTACCCTTTGGGTACAGAGACCATAGGAAGCTGCCTTGTTTACTTGTGTCTTTTTCCCCACAGAACACTAGATAACAGGAAGATGTTCTTAGCTGCGTTTTCTGCTGTCTTGGGCAACTTCACATTTGGTTACGCACTGGTTTACCCCTCACCGGTCATTCCAGCTCTGGAACAAGATACTGATTCCACTTTGCACATTACAGAAGCGGAGAAGTCTTGGTTTGGGGTAATGAGATTATAGTTTTATAGAAAACAAGTTTAAATCAGAAATCTAGACTGGCATGTTGCTGAGAATAATAAACTATGGACTGGGGTCCTAAATACACAGTATGCTTTGGCTTAAGTAGTTTACATCAAAATGACTAAATAATTCCAAAATATTTTGCATTGCAGGAAGGCTCTGCTCCTTTCATCATCAACTAACCTTTCCTGAAATATTCTGGGCAGTTGGATGGTTCTTCTCCTTCCACTATCTAATTCCACGTCCAATATACTCTGGACTGTTGGATGACTGTTCTCCTTCCACTATCTAACTCCTCTTTTGATAAACTCTGGGCTGTTGGAGGACTCTTCTCCCTAAACCATCTAACACCTCATATGATATACTATATATAAATTCTGGGTAGCTGTCAAACTCTTCTTCTTCCATTATCTAACTCCTCTTCTGATATAATCTAGGCTGTTTGATGACTGTTTCTCCCTTCACTATCTAACTTCTCTTCTGATATACTCTGGGCTGTTGAAGGACTCTTCTCCTTCCATTATCTAACTCCATGTCTAATATACTCAAGGCTGTTGGAGGACTGTTCTCCTTCCACTATCTAACTCATCTTCAGATAAAACTCTGGACTCTGGGAGGGCTTTTCCCCCTCCACAAAATAACTCCTCTCCTGATATACTCTGGGCTCTTGGAGGACTCTACTTCTTCCTTTATCTAATGCCTCTTCTGATATACTCTGGGCTGTTGGAGAACTCTTCACCTTCCTCTATCTCCTCTTCTGATAAGTTGAATCAGCTGTAAGTCTAATACTCTGTAAATTTAATAACATCTTCATTGCATTTCCCTTGCAGTCAGTGTTTGCACTGGGTACCTGTGTTGGTGGATTAAGCTCCATGTTCCTGAATGATTGGCTTGGACGTAAACTCAGCATCATGTTCTCTGCACTTCCTGCGGCAATCGGCTTCCTGCTAATGGGGAGTGCTCAGCACATCTCCATGCTTCTCCTGGGAAGAATCCTCACAGGTCTAGCCGGAGGCTTGACATCATCCTCAATACCAGTGAGTAGGTCACTTTCCAGGCCCTTTCTATAACAGTATGGCTTAGATGGTTAAAAGGTACTAGTAGAAAGAGCTGGATTCTCAAATATTTCTTATGAAGCCTGTGATCACAGTCAGTTGAGTATGTAAAGCCACAATTCACTTTGGCTTCCATTTCTTCTGAAGTGCATAAATGAAGCCACTGACTGTCACCAAAACAATTGCTGTTGGTAAGGCAACCTGTTTGCTGGACCCTTTGTATTTGTGGCCCTATGTGGCGTTTTTATTTGGTGTTCTGTCTAAGATAGCACAGAGTTAATTTTCGCTGTCATGTGTTGAAATTCATGCATGTTCCCATACAACACAATAGCTGCTCTGTCCCTTTCCATTATTAAAAACTCTTTAGATAATATAATTCATGTTTTTCATCATGACTATGCATCTCTCATAGGAAAAGATCACCAAGAAAGCAAGTAAATACACAGTTAAGGAAAAAAAAAAATATACAGTTGTGTCCAAAATTATTCAACCCCCAATGCTGTAAAGGGGTTTAGGGACTATAGTGTACATTTGGAATTGTATTCAGAATCAAATCCTACAAGGACGTTGTAACTACCCAAATGCAACTAAAATGACATCAATTGTTTATGTAATACAGTAGTAAATGGTTCTTATGTGGTTTCTTCATTGCCACAATTATTCAACCCCTTAAAGACTACCACTCTGAAGAAACAGAGGTTCATACAGGTGCTTTCCATCAGGTATTGAAAACACCTGTGGATGTCACCGAGCAGCAATCAAGCATAATAAGCACCAATTAGGCAGCTTTAAAATGACTGTGATACTCAGCTCCTTCTAGACATTTACTGGTGTGGTTACAAAACATGGTGAAGGCAAGAGAATGGTCCAGGAAGACAAGAGAAGAGGTGATTTCTCTTCACAGGAAGGGCAATGGCTATAAGAAGATTGCAAAGATGTTAAACATACCAAGAGACACCTTAGGAAGCATCATTCGCAAATTCAAGGCAAAGGGCACTGTTGAAACGCTACCTGGTCGTGGCAGAAAGAAGATGCTGACTTCGACTGCTGTGCGCTACCTGAAGCGTAGAGTGGAGAGAAGTCCCCGTGTGACTGCTGAGGAACTGAGAAAAGATTTGTCAGATGTGGGTACAGAAGTTTCAGCCCAGACAATAAGACGCACACTGCGTAATGAAGGCCTCCGTGCCAGAACTCCCAGGCGTACCCCCTTGCTGTCTCCAAAGAATAAGAAGAGTCGACTGCAGTATGCCAAAAGCCATGTGGACAAACCACAAAAGTTGTGGGATAGTGTTCTGTGGACTGATGAAACAAAATTAGAACTGTTTGGGCCCATGGATCAACGCTATGTTTGGAGGAGGAAGAACAAGGCCTATGATGAAAAGAACACCTTGCCTACTGTGAAGCATGGTGGAGGGTCAATCATGCTTTGGGGCTGTTTTGCTTCTGCAGGTACAGGGAAGCTTCAGCGTGTGCAAGGTACCATGAATTCTCTTCAGTACCAGGAGATATTGGATGGAAACGTGATGCAGTCCGTCACACACCTGAGGCTTGGGAGACGTTGGACCTTTCAACAGGACAATGATCCCAAGCATACCTCCAAGTCCACTAGAGCATGGTTGCAGAGGAAAGGCTGGAACATTTTGGAGTGGCCATCGCAGTCACCAGACTTAAATCCGATTGAGAACCTCTGGTGGGACTTAAAGAAAGCAGTTGCAGTGCGCAAGCCTAAGAATGTGACTGAACTGGAGGCCTTTGCCCATGAAGAATGGGCGAAGATACCCGTAGATCGCTGCAAGACACTTGTGTCAAGCTATGCTTCACGTTTAAAAGCTGTTATAACTGTAAAAGGATGCTGTACTAAGTACTAAGATTGAATGTCACTTGGGGGTTGAATAAAACTGATAATGCTGTGAGCACAGAAAAGACATTTGTGGTTATTTCATTATAACTGTTATGTTATATTTGTCTGACCTACAAGTGCCTCTTTAATGTAAATGTAAGCAAGATGACTGAATGATCAAAAGCAATGTCAAACTGGCCAAAACACTCAATTTCAGTGGGGGTTGAATAATTTTGGACACAACTGTATATATATATATATATATATATATATATATATATATATATATACATATACACAGGGGCGGACTGACCATTTGGAAACTCAGGTCAGTAGGGGGCCCCATGAGATGCCCTGGTACCTTTTTTTTTTTTGAGTTTGGGCACAGGGGCCCCCATGATCCCATATTGCCCAGGGGCCCTATGAGTTGTCAGTCCGCCCCTGTATGTGTGTGTATATATATATTAATTCTGTTCAGGCTGTCTTACGATTCACTCACCACTGGCAAGCAATATCCTGACCTTAATTCTCTCTTCTGTATTATACAACTTATTAAATGACCTACCTCAGCCTGTGGGTGAAGGAGCTCTTCTTCCTACTGGTGAGCCTTCTTTGTTAAGTTGAATCAGCTTAAAAAAAGAAGTATGGGGTTTTTTAAAATACAAAATTATATTCTCCTAGTTGGATACAGAATTAGTCCAATACAGCATCTGTCCTCCCCTGCTTCTAAGACAGAGAACTTTATGATCAAGACCGCTGACCACTTGGTTCCCAGTCTTCTGTGAACAAAGAGTTGGTGGCTATCAATCAGCGCTCTGTGCTCTACCCCTCCAGGGCTCACTGAAGCACTAGGCTGTGGAGGGGGTGGGAGTAGCTTGCTCAGGCTCTTAGTGTCTCACTGAGAGGCTGGACCAGCTGCCGGTTCAGGCTTTTTCAGAGTCTTGGACTGGCTGAGTGATGTCAGCTGACAGCAGGTTTAGCCTACTTTCGGCTGAAAACATGTTACATGAGTGCAGATCAAAGTGCATTCCTATGATCCTTAGAAGAAAAAGGGCCGAAAAAAGCTTTGGCCCTACTTCTTTGAAATTGAGCCTCGAGTGGCCCTGTTGGCACTATCCGACTCAACAAACTTGGATTTTTTTTTTTTGTACATTATTTGATATATTTGATAAAACATTAACCTGCATACAGTGGTGGGAAGAAAGGAAGTTGTGTGCAGTCAGAAGTTTTGGAAAGAAATAATATTCTTGGAAGAGTGACATGTGGCTCATACATAGAAAAATGTGCGGAATGCTGTCACTGTCATCTCTGTGTGATTGGGGACAGTGTGGCTTTTGTACTTTGTGGTAACACGGCTAAATACACAATCACTTGCCATAAAATTTACATTGATGTGTGACAGCAGGAAATCTATATTTGCTGTAATTTGGGATGCCAGGATCTGCAGAAATTTCTGCTAAACGCTCTATAAGAGAGATACATTGTTAACTGATTGTGTTCTATTTCTTGCTTTAGTAATAAAACTGTAAAAATTTACTAAAAATGGCTACCTATATAAATATACCGGTATATATTTTTTTCATCCCTTTTCTTCTATCACTGATAAATGGCACCATTTTCTCCCTTTTGTTGAAGATATATGTGTTTTTGTTAGCTTGGGAACTGTTTTATGCTTTTTGAATTAATTGCAAACGACCGTCCACGTCAGCTTGACTTTTAGTGCTGGTCCACACTATTTTTGATGCAACTTAAGCTGCACAGGATCTCATGACAAGGGAAAACACAATGGGGGGATTTACTAAAACTGTTGCACATAGAATCTGGTGCAGTTGTGCATAGTAACTAGTCAGCTTCTAGGTTATATAAAGCTTAAGCCTGGGTTCACACTGATGCGGTCCGGAATTTGCAGCGTTTTCTGTGTGAATTCTGCACCGCATCAGAATCGCACCTCGTTTATGCAAACCATTGCGGGTGTGTATGTTAAGTTAACAACACCCCAAAATTGGTCCACAAAACTCGGACCGATATGCAGAATCGGATCACATAAGTGCGAATACCCATGCTATCTGATTCTAGTGCTGACCCAAAAAAGGGTCCTGCACCTTTTTGGTGCGGATGCGGTGCAATTTGAGCCATACATAAAGTATGGCTCAAATCGCACCGCACACAATTCACATGTAATTTGCACAGGAATGCGGTGCGGTTCCTGTGCGAATCACATGCGATTTACCACACCGCACTGAGTGTGAACCTAGCCTAAAGATTATGCAAATCCAACATTTCATATTGTCCTATATGTGCCTGCTGTACCATGTACTAGGTCCAGAAAAATGGAAAAGGATGCAGACTTTTTACATTTTTGTTTTCGGGACCTGAGGTAACTTAGAATTAAAGAATATGTAAGCCCAACATTTTATATTCCTGATATGTGTCTGCTGTACCATGTACTTATGTGAAAAATATTCTGCTCTCTTTGTATTGCTTCCTTTGTATGAAATCCCTGGTGTTCCTGCTAGTCCCTCTATTTTCCTATTAAAAACTGGCCACACTAAGCATGAGAGCATAGCGTAGTCAGTTCTCTAGCTGTGCTGGGAATTCAGCCTGCTCTTCTCCAACGGTCAGACTTATCCTGATACGCCTAACCCCTTCCTTCACTGGGAAGATCAGTGAACTGCTGTTCCTCCTCCCCCAGCTTTTATTCAGCTGAGATCAGAGGGAATGTGATCACTTATAAAAAAAGGGAAAAAAAAGGTATTTCTAATGTTTTTATATCTATACACAAATGTTTTGCCTTTATTTTCTATTATAAACTAAGTGGTTTGTTTTACAAGGTGAGGATTTACAATCACTTTAAAGCAGAGTTCCACCCAAAAGGGGAAATCACGCTTTAATGCTCTGTCCCACGCTCCCCATTAAGGATTGGCATCTTTGGGGAGCGGGTACCAGAATTTGACAGGTACCCGCTCCCACTTCCGCTGTGATCGCCTAGGAGATCGGAAACAGAAGTTGTCCTCCTTCCCTCCCCATAGTCTTCTGGGATACGTGACAGGTCCCACAAGACTATTCACAAAGCTCAGCGCTTCTCGCGCATGCGCAGTGGGCACCCGGTTGTGAAGCTGCAAGCTGTCACACCCGGGTGCCCACACGAAAGATACTAGTGCCAGGGAGAGAAGACGGCTGGTGAAACTAGCGGTGCTGAGGACATTGCTGGACCGAGGGACAGGTAAGTGGCTGTATTTTAAAAGTCAGCAGCTACAGTTTTTGTCACCTGGAACAATGCTTTAATTGAACAAGCTGAAGTTAGAAACTGATTGGTTACTGCATGCAACTGCACCAGATTCTGTGAATATTAGTTTTATTAAATCTCCGCCATTTTGTTCAGTGGTGCCCATTCTCATCAATGCAACTCAGCATGGTGCAACTTTGGAAAAAGTTCCTGTTCTACTTTGGTGTGATTTACAGTGCAATTTGGCCTTACAGAATATGCAAAGTCGCATCAAAGTTGCACTGTATAATAGCACTGAAAATTGCATCAAAATTGCATTGTAGCAGTGTAAACTGAGTCTCACTGTGGTCAGTAAGCCTGCTTTCACACCTGAGCAGAGTGAGTTTCAAGCATTTTTATTTGAGCATTTTTTGAAAACTTATACAAGCATTTTAGAAGTAAATCTACATATGTATTCAAGATTCAGGTGTTTTTGTTTTAGCCAGTGGAAAGCATTAGGGGGAAGACACCAGTTCTTACAGACTAAAAATTGCCTGAAATACATCTGGAAAACACTTGATGCCAGTGTTTATAGCTGTTCCCATTGAAGTCTGTGGCGCCCAAACCACCCAAATCTGCCTCAAAAACAATGCACCCAACTTCCATCTTGTCTTGTAGATGTTAGTGGATGTGTGCACAACTGACAATTACAATAATGCACTCTGGGATCAAATATGAACTCCAAACCAACAGCTAAAGGCTAAGGATGAGTGACACTGAAAGTGTTGGAAAATTGGGACATTTTGACAAATGCATTGGAGTCAAGGATTTGGTGGTTTTTATGGGTACAATTAGGTTTAACTTCCTCTTGAGGGTTATGGAAGATTCTTTTAACTATCCCCCCAAAAATGGCCTACGGAGTATTGCAATGATCAGCCATTTGTTGCCCATGCATTCTATGCTGGTCATAAACTGTTTTTTTTTTTTGCATTCAGGCAGTAGATTCCTCCATCAATCCACATGAAGTAGATGGAGGAATCCACCTTCCAGGATATTGTATACTTACAGCCTCCTCTGCTGCTGTCAGAATTCTTTGATCAGCAATTACAGTTGATTTGCCGCAGCCCCTATCGAGGAAAATATTTAACATGTCTCTTCAACAAAAGTCGATCAAATGATGGACTTTTGTTGAGCAGTAATGATCTTACACTTATTGAAATCTGACACATTTCGATCAGTGTATGACTGGTTTATGGATTGCCCATTTGTTACATATGCATTTTCACAATTGCCAGTTTTTTTGTCTGTGTATTGTAATGACAGCTTGTTTGCTGTGTTTGTATAGAAAGAATAGCTCATTTGTTGATATTGTACCATTGCATGTTTTTTGTTCACATAATATCACAGTTGCCAATTGTCACGATTTTCTATTTGTTGCCCGTATATTATCACAATTGCCCACCTGTTGTCTGGGTATTGTCAGGATTGCCACTATTATACCTAAGGATTTTCAGTGCAATTTGTTTAGAAGACCATTTGACTATAATAGGAATTGCTCCTCCACTGTCTCTGTCAAACCAGAGAATTATTACACACATTTTAACAAACTGCTACAAGTTTTAGTGATTCGCTCATTTAATACATTGTATCTCAACAATTCAACAAACTAATCCAGTGCTTATGTTGTCATTTACTTTGCCTTTTATACTGAACAATATATCGTGTCTGTTTATATTTGCAGGTTTATATCTCAGAAATCTCTCACGCGGGAGTGAGGGGCGCACTGGGGGCTTGTCCTCAGCTTATGGCAGTGTGTGGTGCCTTGGTCCTGTATGCGCTCAGTACGTATAACCCTGATTCGGATTACTTTTTGTAATAACAAAAAAGTTTTGGTTGAAGTTTTACATTAACCTAAAAATATGTACTTTCTAAGGCAGATCTAGTTGAAAGTGCAATCCATACACTGACAGACTTGCAAGATGCAGGACCATTCTGATAAACTGTGCTTTGGCTTATGTTATTCCACACACAAAATATCAGATAACTTAGCCCCAACTTTTATTTAAAGTGTTTCTAAAGACTGAAGGGTTTTGTCTAAGCTTGAAGATAAAAAACCTTCATTATGCAGTCCCCCTTATACTTACCTGAGCTCGATCTTGATCCAGCGATGCACACAAGAGCAGAGGTTCTCTCTGCACTCTCCCTTCTCATTGGATCAGACTCAGCAGCAGGAGCCATTGGTTCTTGCTGCTGTCAATCACATCCAGTGAGGAGTTAGTGGGGGTCTTATGGACACACAGAGTGGGGCTTGGGACCGAGCAAGCCAAATGCCCCCATAGCAAGCAGCTTGCTATGGTAGGCACTCAGTGGGGGAGAGGAGCCAGGAGCTTCATCTAGAAACCCAAGAAGAGGAGGGTCAGGGCTGCTCTGTGAAAAACCATTGCACAGAGCAGGTAAGAAATCCCAAATTTTGTGTTGTCCCCAGAAAAGTAATAGAGGGGAAATCTTCCAATGGGACACTAGTTCTGGTGACCTGGGGGTCTCCAAGGAATTCCTTTAATTTGCAAGGATTCCTCTCACTTCCTGTTTGTCTATGGGACAGAGAGTTAAGGGAAATCTCTGCAATGGGACACAGATTGTGAAAAAAAATCTGAGAGAGGTTATAACCCTCCCTTACCCTATCCAAAATCAAAAAAAAGTTTTGCCTATAGTTCTACTTTAATGTATAACTCCAGTTTTGTTGAGAAAACATTATCTTTCAGGCAAACTGGTACAAGAGTTGAACATTTCTGTCCAGTAAACTTAAACTCATTGCCAGGGATCCCATATTCTATGTGTAGCCCTCTTTTGAGGGGGGTATGAAAAATGGTTCTCCCCAAACAAGATATTGCGTTAAACCTGTAGATGAACAAGAGAACCAGAACCTTTGCTAAGTAGAAGAGTGGGTTTGATAATAAGGTTGGCAGTGCTTCCACCCAGGACAGGACCTCTGTGAGCAGACGGGATTCCATTTCTTGGAAATTCCTCAGTAATCTAATCAAAGTAATTGGGAGCAGAGGAACTACTACAACCTGTATATACCATTAACCATAAGCATCTGCACACAAGTATGGAAATAATACAAGATTTATCTAAGAAAAGATTAGTAACACTACATACTTCCAATGTACAAATAGATTTTATCAGCAAAGAGCCTGATAGGAGTCTTGCTGGATGTTTTTACATATGAGTATATATAGTAATTTATAGAGATACCTCCAGATGAATGTTGCAGCAAAGTCTAGTTGCAGGGGCCCCTGATAATGATACGGCATCTGTCTTTGTGTCAGAGACCTAAAGACAAGATCAGCAGTCATGGAATGATCCTCCAACTATTGTCTAACCAGCCTGGAATGGGATTTCCCACTAGCAGGAACTGTGGTGAGGCACTAGAACTCAGAGTCAGCATGTCTACTCTGCTCTACTCTTTAGTCTCTCCCTAGAAGTGTATAATAGTCTCTACTGGTCCAGAATTTAGTAGCATGCACAGGACATGTGTGCGAGTCTCTCTCTCTCTCTAAATTTCCTTCTTCCTGGATTTCATAGCCAACGACCCACAGGCAGGAAGTGTATACATAATATATTTACAAGCATTTACAAATTCATACAGTGGTAGGCAGTAGATCTCTACATATGTAACAGGTTGAATGTGACTTGACCTCAGTGTAGACCTCTAAAAGATGTTTTCAGCCAATTACAGTTAGCTGGAACGATGCCAGGAAATCTGAGCCCCCCATAATATGAAAGTCCCCCCATACATCAGCCCCCCCCAAAAAAATCAGAGTTCTCCCTATATGTCAACATCCCCCATTTACATCAGAGTCCCGCTAGCACAGTAGATTTCCCCATCACCAAATGTTCTCATCACAGAGCCACCCAATCACACAGTCCCTACTTCACATTAGAGCCCTGCCTGTTGGCTCCAGCAGCACCATAGACGGCGGGTGGTAGAGCAGGTCTGGAGGAGTCAGACTTCTGTCCTTTCCTGAATGCTGGGGGTGGCCCTGCATGTCTCCTGCCCTGGATCAGTGTCATGAGTTGCTATGGCATGGGTGGGTCAGGCCAGCCCACAACACCATAGCACCAAAGGTAGCTGTGTGTACTGCCCTTGAGCACCATTGATTGTTATGGTCCTGAGGTTGGCCCATCAGCAACATGTAAACTCATGACTCTGATCCAGGGCAAACTAGGCCCCATTCTTACAGCATCCCTGGGGAACCTAAATGGCACCCCAATTAAAACACTGATGTAGACTACTAATCTCCCCATCCCCCGTGTAATGGAGATGAACAAAGGTAAAGGTCTTAGAAGTCCAGTCTGTGTGACCATGACTCTCTCCCATTGATACATTGCAGAAATTAGTGTAGACATGAAGGGACGTGAAGTGTGTTATTTACTGGATTACTAGATGAAAATGAAGGAAAACTAATGCAGCCACATCTAAAGACCATAAAGCTGCAATATATTACATTTTTACTTTGAGGTTTAGCTACGATTTATTGCTAACTTCATTTTTGTAGGGTGTAGCAGGGTGAGGCCATGCCACTGTGTAAAATGGCAGTCTAGGCCAGGGGCGGACCGACCATTTGGAAACTCGGGCACTGCCCGAGGGCCCGGGGTCAGTAGGGGGCCCCATGAGATGCCCCTGGTACCTTTTTCATAGGCTTTTTTGAGTTTGGGCAAGGACACAGGGGCCCCATGATCCCCTATTGCCGGGGGCCCCATGAGTTGTCAGTCCGCCCCTGGCCAGGATTTGCAGAAAACAGGCACACTGATGGCACAGGTGCACGAGCACAGACATGTGTGTTAGATGGTCTGGAGGACCAAGGCATGAGTCTTGAGCAGTAGAGCTGCAAAAGAGAGTCAGGAGGAGGAATATTGTTCTCTATCCTATTGATAATGGAAACCCCCTATATGCTATTTGTTTGTGAACTTTCTTCTGTTTTAAATAACAGTGGGCAGGAAAACCCCTGAAAATGAATATCTGGCATAGACTAAACTGAGTGGCAAGCACTACACAGGAGCTAAACAACTCCAAGTTGTCTCACTTCCTTCTCTGGTTACAATCTAAACATTTTTGGTTTTCCTGCTGCTTTGTGTTCCTGTGACAGTAGTCACCAAGATAAATTAGAAGGCTGTGAGCAGAAGTCGGAATATGCAGGATACACTTTGTTGCACAAACATCTGTTTTTGAATACATTTGAAAATATTAACATATCTATACATAAATGTTCTTCAAATTTCTTTTACATAGGCTTTCCCACCATCTGTAATAATTGTTCTTATTAACTAAAATATCTAGCTTTTCCTATGCAGATGAACATTGACTTTTCTCTTCTCAGGTCTTGTTGTGCCATGGCGCTGGCTGGCGATAGCGGGTGAATTACCTGTAATTGCCATGCTCCTCCTCCTGTGCTTCATGCCAGATTCCCCGCGATTTCTCATTTCAAAAGGGAAACCAGAAAGAGCCCTTAAGGCCCTAGAATGGTTCCGAGGGTCAAATACAGCATACAGAGATGAGTTTAAGAGAATTGAGGACAGCATCCTGAATAAGGTATCACAGGCCAAAAGGCATCAAACTGACACTTGGTGAACCTAAAACAAGAACATTTGCTGGCCCCACAACAGTTATACCCTGATAATTGGGATCCAAGAATCGTGACATACTGATACTTACGAGAACCAAACCAATGACACACTGACACTTATGCATCCATGAACAATTACATACTTCCACTTGGGGGCTCCATGCCATACTGACATTTGGGAATCTAGAACAATGGCACACTGACATGTGGAGGTCCAGAACAAAAACACACTGACACTAGGGGATCAAGAACAATGGCACAATAGGGAAGGGGTGTCCCAGAATAATGACAAACTGATTCTTGGGGATCAACATGACTACTATATATTGACATACTGGCAAATCAGTGCTCCCAGAATGTAAATGACAATCTTATACTTGATATTCCAAAACAATGACACACTAGGGGGTTTCCCAGAATAATGACACAGTGACACTTTAAGGGGTCCCCAGGACAATGACTAACACTTGGGATATTCAGAACAGTGTCATTTAGCATCTCAAAGCAATGTCACTCTGACACTTGGGGGTCCGAGAACAATGACATCTTGACATTTAGGGGCTCTCAGAACAATGGCATATTGGCACTTGAGGATGACAGACTGATTTTAGAGGACAGAGACAATGGCAAACTGACTTGGGGGAAGGGGTTCTAGAATATGGACATGCTGTCAAATAGGTCTCCTCAGAATACTTCAACACTGACATTTGGGCAATCCTAGAGTAGTGACAAGCTGACATTTGATAAGATGAGATATATGCCATGAATTGGCAGAAGGTTAATCAGCGATATTGGTGTCACATCTTGTTTCAGAACAGTTCAATAACATGCCGTGAGCTGTCCGAACCGCACTACTACAAACCCATCCTCATTGCTGTCCTCATGAGGTTCTTACAACAGATGTCTGGAATCAACCCAATATTGACATATCTGGAGCCCATCTTCGACAGGACTAAAGTCATTCTGGTGAGGAACCATAAGGCTGTGGTATCTTCACAGAGAGAATATATTGTACAATGCACTGGAACTGGAGCCAGGGGTTGGACTTTGACATGAACTTGTACTGAGAAGTATAGTGGCCACAATTGCTGGCCTATTTCTGAGAATGCTAGTTGTCTTATACTTTTTGAGACACCACCCCAAAACAATTATGCAGACCAAGAAAGTCAAGATAGAACTCCTCATCAGTCACCATCACAGTAGCTCAAATGTTGTGCTCAAAGCTGTCACATCAGGGGACAGAAAGTGCATGTGAGGGGGTTTGAATCAGAGAAAGAGCTCACTCCTGTGATGGTGGAGGAGAACAGTAACAGGCAAGACAAGATGGTGAGATGCAATATCTGGGAGTTTTCCAGTCAGGCTTCATGAGGTACGGAAATGGCCTACACCTAAAGGAAGAGCAATATTCAACATTGGTCATAGCTGCACAGTTTACTTCTATCTACAAAGCCTCTTTTTTGGTAAAGGCGAGCTACTCCTTTACTTTTTATTTTCAGGCTAAGACCTGCTACTGTACTGCACAACGTTTGGATGAAGATAATCATACACAAGAGCTAAGATTAACTTTTTTTCACATTTACCTGGCAGTTAGAGTGGTGGAACATAAAAGAAAATGCTCTTTTTAGAGAAAGGATTGTGAACCTTTTCACCTGCCATATATTGACCTGGTTATTATCTCCAGCACCTAATCATTGTGCATCAATAAATTTATGATAACACTGTCACCTACTGTTTGACAAAACAATTATAAACCATATCTACAGAGATAATGCCATCAATATATATGGTTACATAGTTACAAAGTTGAAATAAAGAAACTTGTCTACTAAGTTCAACCATTCAGAACCTCTAGTTTTAGACCAAAGGAAAGCAAAACAAAACTTCGTGCAATTTTATCTCATCAGGTGGGGAGGAGGGGGCAATTTCTGACTCTAAAAGGTAGGTTTGATTCCCTGGACTAAAATATTAGATTAATTCAGTTTGACAAAAGGGATATTCCTGTAATGCAGTAAAGAAGGTAGTTCAATATTAAGAATGTAAAAAGTATTTGCGCTTGGTGAAGAAAATATATAAAATACACTTAAACTGAATGATTGTGTGCGTGCAGAAACCAAAAAAAGTTAGAATTCCTAATTTATAAATATATGCTGTCCACCTGGTGCGCTACTCGATTTTCACATAAATACAGCAACAACAAATAAATTAAATATGAGTGTACGACTCACAAAATCCAAATATAATCAGTGCAGTCCAATAGATTAAATGATAGATGTGCTCAATCCATATATCATCCAATGGTGATCACAAAAACACATTTAGGAGTGAACCATCGTGCTTCCATAACCAGAAAAATGCTTAGCCTCTTACCAAAAACATTGATCTCATTATTATGAGATCAATCTAAGCCTGTGTGCCCTTTGGTCGGCACTGATCGTGCTTTCAGCTACATATCCTCTTGTCCTCACCAAATGCTCACAAGTGGATAAAGACTTCCATCAAAGCTAGTACAACGTCCCTCCAAAACAGCTTTATAGCCGCAATAGTGTTATACCATACAAAATGTTTAAAGTTTGGATATATACTCACATATAAAAGGATTCAGAGCGTATATCAATCAGACGCCAGAGTATGAATGTTTGCATGCATGTGACGTCCCCAAAAAAGCCCCACCCAACATACTGCACCCCCATCAGCATCTTCAGGGGTATGGATTTAGTATTATGAAAGATTTTACAGCCAAACCCAGTCAATATTTTTTTTGGTTTCTTTATCCATTCCAAAATTATTATGTAGTCATGACTTTATTCAAGCCAGGTTTCTGTTATACCCACTATGTCAAATTGTTGTCATCAGGATTCTCAGTATATTTATTTACTTTTTAAATTTTTTCAAATATGTCACACAGCTAACATACATTTTATATTTTTACCACCAAACAGTTCTAAAACTCTCCTTACTTTTCCTTTCTACCCTTCCCTTACTATGGTCCCAATAGCACTCGTTCATTCATTTTACACTTATTGTTAATGAGGAACATTTCAAAATTTAATTTTTATACTAAAAACCTTTGTCAAGACCTTGTGCATTTTCCGGTTCAGAAGTTCCGTGATCATTATATTACCCAGATACCTTTATCGCGTAGAATTTGGGGCAACTTGACTGATACATTTCTCTTTCCCTCCTCTCTAGCCAGGAAAGTATGATGCTGCCCTTGTTGGACTGGTAAGACTGGTGTCAGTACTGGTTTCTGCCACTGTTATGGATAAAGCTGGAAGGAAAATTCTGCTCTTCATCTCTAGTAAGTGTTTTAATTGGGGAATCTTTACATACAGAATGGGCAACAAAGCAGAACTAGGTGTATTGAAATAGGAGGCAATCTTGAAAGCAATTTCAGTGTGCCTTTCACTTTTTGTAGTAATCCACTGCAGGTTACCTCAGTCATTCTTTGTTTAATACATTTGATTTATTACAGTGAATGCAAGGTCCTGGGTGTAGTAACACTTCAATGCTAAAAATCCATAGCAGATAATCTGCCTTGCAAAGCACATTGTAGGTTCAGGTTTACCAGATCACTCAGGTGAATTCACATGGGCTCCATTGTCCGTGATAAGCACCAGAAGTGCCAGTTATCTTACAAGGACGTTTTCCAATACATGTGAGCAAACTTTCACTTCTTAGAGGAAAAGAAAAGATTGTCACCATAAGTGATAGCTGAGTGCTCTCAGACAACAATTGTAACCACATAAAATAAACATATCAAACCTTGTAAAGGTCTACAGTTACCAATGTTTGGCAAATAGAAGATGACCTTTATCCCTCTCCTTTTGTATCCTTTAGGCTCTTTGATGCTGGTCTCCTCCCTGGCGATGGGCCTGTATGTTCATTTCACAATTGACTTAAAACACAATTACACAACCTTCAATATGACGCTGATTGGGCCTGGGCCTCACGTAGAGCCAAACTATCTGAGTGTTATTCCCCTTGTATGCATCATGTTGTATATTTTAGGTATGTGGAAGTACAGTAGTCTTCATTATGTCTTTTGCTTTGAATAGAAAACATGCATAGTCTGTGTTTGCGACATCAAGGATTTAATATTCACAATACTGTGACATGAATCCATTTTCTTTTGCACAGTAGCACTTCACTTGTTCTGTATGTTGGGGTGATGTGGTGGTTTATGTAAGGATATGTCCTACTTATAAAGGGCGTGTCCCTTTCCCTTGGATGAAATATTACAGTGCCTCCAGCCGTTAAAATACGGCAAATATTTAGTAAACCAATAATTTGGACACCTTGATAATTTGATCACCACTTATTATTATACCTTGAATTCTTTTAGCCAATATGATTTCGTACCATACACACAAAATTTGCCTTATAATAGATAAATATAAAAATTTATTTATGTACAAAAATTATATATATATTAACACAAAACGCAAAAGACTGGTGATAAATGAATATTGATACACACAATCAAAGATATACCCTACCAATGTAATACACAATAATAAGATTTCTAACTAATTACATCAATATCACAATTTTTAAATGATCTGATTATTTATTAAATTTATTAATAATTAATAATTTCGAATATCTCAAAGGTTATATTCTCACAAGCCGTGGCCATAGGATTGCAAGAAGCAAGCCCTTGATATATGATACTCTGGTTATTAATATTCAATAAATTATGAAATATGAAAAAAAAAAATTATAATATGGCAACAAACAATTTTTAACAGTAAAACAGGATCTCTCTACATATATCTAACTACCCAATATTGTTGTGATACACTAAGATAATTTTATGATTCCACACCACAGAGAAAATAGGTAATATAAAATCAAATAAACAATCTCACCGCACCCGGCATTCAGACTAGGCAACTCTCCCGTGGATTTTAGCTGGCAGTGGAACGCCTTTAGACTGATATTATAGGGCAAGTGATAGATATTCAGTATGGGAGAATGTAGGAAGTTATAAGGATAGAGGTTTAGAAATTTAGTTAAAGTTTTAGGAAGTTTGAAAGGATGGAAGAGTAGTTATTCAGCAGAGATCTTCTTCAGATGTCAGGGTCTTCTTTTGATGAGTTTTTTTTCTTTTGATAAGTTTTTCTTGATGAGGTTTTCTGATGAGGTTTTTTTTGATGAGGTCTCTTTCTTAAAGGTACAAGGGCTTTTATACCAACCAATCCATTGTTCTAAGATACCTTCCCACCAGGCTTCTTGATTGGCTAGTTGAGAAATGTGTGTACATAAGCTATTTCTCACCTGCCCGCCAGGTGGCGGTCATGTATCATAGAACAATTTGAGTATTTGAGATGACTCACCTTGGGTGGAATCTTAAGGTAATTTCAGGAATCAAATATACGTCTTTTTCCAGATATAAGTGATCATATCTATAATATTCTAAAATAGGGACATGGAATATAGGTGTATATTCAGTTTATTCCTTCTTGAAATATCATCCTGTTTGTTTCCTGATAAGACATGTACTAATGTAATTTCTGCTAGTTTATATAATACATCTTACTTCCCATCATCTCAATACTCAAGTTAGTGATATATAGTTCCCATTGCTGAAGATTTAGTGTGTGTGTAAAATCTATAACATCTCATTTATAATATGTTTTTTCTTTGTAGTATATCTTTGTAATTTATATACAGTCAACTTTAGACTTAAATGTCCTGAATTTCACCTCTTTGTTTTAGAACCAACATTTTCTATGTGTAGGGAAAAACTCTCTGTTTGCCTGGCTCTTGTATTAAGGAATCCATGGTAAACAACTGTTAATGCTTTCACCACTTGGTGAACAATAGTATATTGTAATAGTTTCAAGAGGTCTGTTGGTTCATCAACAATTGCAAGTTTTTGGGTAAGCTTTCAAACCAGTTGAGTTCCCGTCTATTATTGTTAAAATGTTTGGCAAAGTTGAAGTCCTATCTGGCTATTTGTTTGACTTTTGATGCTGTATATGCATTCCTTCTCATTTCACCAATCAATATACAAATAGTCACAACCTTGTTGACAGTCCAAACAGTCCAAACTGTCTTGAAAAGTCTCACTTCCCCCATTATCATCCATTTCTTATACTAGAATCCTTGAGAGTTCAGTAGTCCAAGACAAAATTAACTCTTAGCATCCGAAATACATGAGTCTGTTTTGTCATATTTAATATGTCTGTGATAAAGTCATTTTTTGAGACATAATTCAAAAGTTCACAACAGTGAAATTTTTAGTATCTGTTTTTATTCTGTATGTATGAACAGCACTTTTCATGTTTTGTATGCTATTTTTAATTGTTAGTATTTTTTATTATTCTGCATGTATGAATTCTGTTAAGTACTATTTCTCTTCTTTCTGTATCGGGTTCTTATTTTGAATGTGTGGACGCAGCACAGTAGCGCTTCTCATCTGTTGTGTTTTTTCTCCCCTGTAATTCCTTGTAGTAAAGAACTGAGTGCACTCTGTCTCCTCTTCAGGTTATGCCTTTGGCTGGGGTCCAATCACCTGGCTCCTGATGTCTGAGATTCTGCCATTAAAAGCTCGCGGAGTGGCATCTGGTCTATGTGTAGTGGTCAGTTGGATAACTGGCTTTGTTCTTACTGAGGCTTTCCTCCTGTTGTGGTAAGAACTTGACAATTGTCTTTCTATATTTTTATATGATAAGGGTGCCATATTTTACACACAGATTGTGATTGTTACCATTCACCTAAACCACGTGTCAAACACAAGACCCACAGGCAGAATCCAGCCCACCAGGCCATTTTATGTGGTTTTTGCACCTCCCCTGCAGCTGCAGTAGCCCCTTCATCTCCTCCCCACCTTGCCTCATCAGTTGGCAGCAGAGGAGGATTTCCTCTGCCAGGTCCTGTGCTTTTTCATGCAACTATGGAGGGGCTCATCTCTGCCCCCCCCCCCCCCCCCAATCTCAGCAGTCAGCAGAGAGGAGGACAGAACTCCTACTAGAGATCCTGTGCCTCTCTGTGGAGCTGTAGCACACCCTCAATTCTGACTTCCCTGGTCTCAGCATTCAACAGACTTCGGCAGCTGACTCCAGCCCTCCTCTGGTCTGACTCCAGACCCTGCACTTTCTCCACCCCTAGCTTCTTCCTGGCAGTAGCGCAAGGTATGGGGGGTAGGGGTGCCCTGCTATGTAAGGGAGTGAGAGAGACTCTTGACTTTTGATGGTGGGGGCTGTTGACATCTGATGTAAGTGGGGTGGAGTACTCTGACATCTGCTTAGAATTAATATAAGAATAATAATATCATCCACAAGAAACTTTACTTGAGATTGCTCAGACAGAATACCATAGCAGAACCATGTTCTGTCTCAGCAGTTTCCAGTAAACTTCTTTACCAGTAGTGTACAACCCTCCTCCTTTTCAAACTTACATGATCTGCTACAGGAGTGAGTGGGCTCCACGCTGGTCTTTACCTGCCCTTCACAGCTTATTTTATATATAAACTTATTTCTTAAACCAGTAATAACTGAATGCGAAGTCAAGTATTTAAAGAGTAAATATGTCCATCCAGTCTCACAGAAACAGCTGGCCCTTCGAGGACAACCCTAATACTGGTGCAGCATGCAATGAAATTGAGTTTGACACCCCTGACCTAAACCAATAAAAAAGTGGTGGATTTCCTTGGATCGGATATATAAACTTTGTAAACATTACTTTATCTATCTTTTCAGAATGCTACCAACTTGGAGACCCCTTTCTTCTTTTTCACCTTTATCTGTGTCTGCTGCACCATCTTCACCTACTTTGCTGTGCCGGAAACCAAAGGACGGACACTGGAGCAGATTGAATGGTACTTCCGTTCAGGTCGACGTTCTTTCATCAGATAATCAGAGAAGACCTTTTAACACTGAGGTGAAAAGACGGCTGTGGCATTTCACCAGTAGATTGGCACTACCAAAAACTGGATGTGTTCCAAATGGACACATAGATTCAAAAAGCAATTCTAGGTCTCCAATGAGTCTGAAGGTACATTGATGCATCTCTGGAATCTAAAGATTGTTCCACCACTCTGGACTATAAATGCAAAGGTCCCTGCACTGAAGATTAAATATCAGATTCCAGCACCTGTGTTGCTTTACAGTCATAGTATGTGGGAGAGTGCTTCACATGCCATGAGGGTCTGGTGTGCTTGTGGCACACAAACACTGGATTGACCACACGATAATGGAAATTAAGTTTTTACACCCATAAGTGAATTCAAAAAGCAAAACAGACATGGATAAACAGCTATTTATTTCTAAACTGGTTGCAAGACTTGTTTTCCTGAGGACTGGCACCATTCACTTGCATTTAAGTAATTCAAATCATTGAGATGTTGAATACATCCTTCTTAATTCCATTAAACTCTTCCCTCCTCCAGCACATGACCAACACTGTGTATGACTTCTGCTGAAGGGGAGGAGAGTTGCTGATTGGACAGCTATGCGCCTGCCTTGAGATCACATCACAAACACGGACTATAAAGTGCATTAGGTGCCAGCCATTCTTTAGTCAAGTCAGAAGCTGACAGGTTCACTTTAGCTCTAAGTAAAATTTCAGGACAGTGCAGCAATTACTGGGACTGACTGTGTGCTCACCTCTTACATCATTTGTTTGTGGGAAGCTGGCACTGACCTACAACAGTGCGTGTACAGGAGGTTAGCAAACACGCATTTCCTAGGTTCTCCCTAGAGACATGTTCTGCTTTCCATGCTGTAATCAAATAAATAGGTAAAGAGCAATAGTAATTTGGAAATGTAACAATTACCCAAGTCAGTAATGTAATATCAATCCTTAGCAAATGCCTTGTCAGTGGCACAATGTTTAGTTTTAGATGGAATGGGGGAAGGATTAGATTTTAAGTGTTTTTGCAGGCCATATCCCCACCAGAGCCTTTAATTTCTATTGGGTCAATGACCTGGCTGTGCTGTCTGGCAGGGAAACCTGACTCGCAAGACTGGCTGAAAAGAGTTACAAGTCAAATGGCAGGTAAAGCAATATGTGCATGTAGCCATTTGCCTGGAGTTCAGCTTTATTGGTTTAT